TTAGACATTTAGAAATCTACACTACCACATGATCCTTCCATGGGCACATATGTTTCAGCTTTTTTGGCCCAGTGGTTCCTGAGAAGAAGATTTTCAAAGATTTTTCCTATATATTTCTATGTAAAACTTTGATTCCCCTATAATGGCTCCGCCCTTCCCCCAGGGGTCATGATTCCTACAATTTAGAATTTACACTACCCCAGAATGCTTCCACATAAGCTTCACTTTTCTGGCCCAGTGGTTCTTGAGAAGAAGATTTTCACAGATTTTTCCTATATATTTCTATGTAAAACTTTGATTCCCCATTGTGGCCCCGCCCTTCCCCCGGGGGTCATTATTTGAACAATTTAGAATCTACATTATACCAGGATGCTTCCACATAAGTTTCAGCTTTTCTGGCCCAGTGGTTCTTGAGAAGAAGATTTTCAAAGATTTTTCCTATATATTTCTATATAAAACTTTGATTCCCCATTGTGGCCCCGCCCTTCCCCCGGGGATCATGATTTGAACTGAACAATTTAGAATCTACACTACACCAGAATGCTTCCACATAAGTTTCAGCTTTTCTGGCCCAGTGGTTCTTGAGAAGAAGATTTTCAAAGATTTTTCCTATATATTTCTATGTAAAACTTTGATTCCCCATTGTGGCCCCGCCCTTCCCCCGGTGGTCATGATTTGAACAATTTAGAATCTACACTACACCAGGATGCTTCCACATAAGCTTCAGCTTTTCTGGCCCAGTGTTTCTTGAGAAGAAGATTTTCACAGATTTTTCCTATATATTTCTATATAAAACTTTGATTCCCCATTGTGGCCCCGCCCTTCCCCCGGGGGTCATGATTTGCACAATTTAGAATCTACACTACACCAGGATGCTTCCACATAAGTTTCAGCTTTTCTGGCCCAGTGGTTCTTGAGAAGAAGATTTTCAAAGATTTTTCCTATATATTTCTATATAAAACTTTGATTCCCCATTGTGGCCCCGCCCTTCCTCCGGAGGTCATGATTTTAACAATTTAGAATCTACACTACCCTAGGATGCTTCCACATATGTTTCAGCTTTACTTGCCCAGTGGTTCTTGAGAAGAAGATTTTTTAATGACCCAACCCTATTTTTGTCTTTTCTTGATTATCTCCCCTTGCGAGGGGATATGTCCCTTCATTTTAACAATTTAAATTCCCCTTAACCCAAGAATGCTTTGTACCAAGTTTGGTCAAAATTGGCCCAGTGGTTCTAGAGAAGAAGTCGAAAATGTGAAAAGTTTACGGACGGACAGACGGACGGACGGACGACGGACACAATGTGATCAGAAAAGCTCACTTGAGCCTTCGGCTCAGGTGAGCTAAAAATATAACGTTATCATATGAGCACTAATCCTCTATAAAATTTATTACAGTGATTCATCGAATGTTTATCAAGAGATTTAAACAGATTTATTTCTAATATGTTTTTATAAACTCTACAATGATCCATTTTGCATTGTATTCACTAGCACATTGTCCCCATTCAACAGACATTTTCTTCCTCCATTGAGAAAGAGTTCCACCAATCACAAATCGATTTCAATTTTACATTTTCTTGTTTTTATGGTCCGGCAAATTTTTAGTGTGTCCTGTAAATTTTATGATTTTTAGACAATCTGTAGGACACTGTGTCCGACAGATTTTTTTTACCTCTTTCGCCAACTCTGGGTTGGCCCCCCAATTTTGGCAAAAGGAAAGTAATATAAGGGTAGTGTAGTAATTGTATGAAGAAAAGAAAATTTGATACTGAAAGAAGTTCGCCTACCCCCCCCCCTTCCCCAAAGGAAGGGGGGATTTTCGAGATTGGGCAAACAAATTTTCCTTTTTTTGGCTTGACAACTTTTTTCCGGTAAGTAATTTTTTTTTTCTCCGGCTGCACCACCCCCTCCCCCCACTTTTAAAAACGATGCTACGTCACTAGCTTATGACCAAATATATAAATGAAAAATATTGTTATTAATAGAAATAATACAATAAACTTGATCTCGCCAAAACCTGTTTCAAAATGTCGCCAATTTCGTATGTAAACACTTATTTTTTTCAACATGATAAAATAAAACTTTTTTTTCATTTCATACGATGCTACCAGGTTATTGACAAAAAGAACTAATTTTCAAATTATGAAGTGAAAACCTGATACTTTATCTACATCACAACTTCCAACAACCCCTAACCCTTATTCAATATTGGACTTTTCAATGTAAACTCGCCATGTATAGAACAGTTTACGCCAGCATCAAATAGAGTTGACACACTTTATTTTAATTACTGTCAGGTAATTCAAATTTGAAATCACACCCTTACATAAATTTTGGTTTGATTGATTTTTTTTTTCTGGTGTCTTAATTCGAACTCTGAATGGCACTATTGTACAGATTTATGACAAGGATATATACTGATACAGTGTACTAGTATACAGTGTACATGTTTTGCTTTTATAAATGAATACAACTTTCAAAACTTAAAATTATTCTTAAAATTAATCATTATTGGTTTAGTTTTCTTTTATCCATATCAGGCTCATTAGCAATAAGAGTAAAATTTTGGAGAGAAAAAAATCTTTTGACGTTTTAGATTACATTTTATGCATTGAACGTAATAACGTACGCCAAAATGCCATATCTTTACGTCTGTGACATAACATGTTGACTTTTATTTTTTGGTAGGATTTTGTCATCATTCCATTGAAATTAATTTGGAATATACCAATAACTTAATAATAAGAGATGCACATTTCATAAAAATCCTTTAATTTTCAATATGTCTATTTTTAATGACTACTCATACGATTTATGTCACAACATTTATACAATTATAGTTAGATTTATTACTTTTGGACAATGTGTGACATTTATTGTTGACTTTGAAAAAACCCTCTAAAACAAATACTTCTTTATAGAATCAACTCATTTTCATATCTAAGTAAAGTTTTGATTTTGCACATTTAGTAATCAATGTTGTTTTGCAGCAAATTAGAAAAATTCATTCTTAACATGAAAGTAATTCATGGAGTGTAGCATTTAAATGTGACGTTTTTGCCGTAAAATTCAGTTGTGACATATAGCTACATGTTGTACATATATGTGACATGGCAATTATTATCAAAATTTAAGATGCCGCAAGTTAAAATTCTGTCTAGAGATCTTTACCTTAATAACATGGCAACATTTTGTAGAATTTGAAATAAATTTCAACATTAATTTTTCACCCAGCATTACAAAATTGGGGATTTTACGAATCTTAAAAACTTTGTGACATTGAACCTCCAAACTTGTGACACACCATCTTATTCCATATATTCAAATTAAATCGGCTTAATAGGAGAAACCAAACATACATATCCACACAAACGATCAGTCTAATTTGAAATATACTTCCTTGCACAAAAAATGGATCATTGAGATGCAATTTCAAAATTGATTAAGCTCATGAAATTATTTTTTTAAGTAACCGAAGACTTTTTATGTGTATCCCATATTTCGCCGATTTACGCGCGTCTACACCTCTGTCTTGGATTTTGAGCAACGCGTTTAGAGCATACGGATTGAATGAAATCACAAATATTAGAATTTACATCATTAACATCATATTATGAATTTTTCTGCCAAATTTTATGTTTGTATTGTTTGTTTTATGGAAGTTACCAACATTTTGTTATTGCATGTGCGACGCTCCTGTTACCCGTCTACATGCGTTTTTGACGTAATTGACTGAATAAACGAATTAATATATCGGACAAATGGAATTTTTTGAACAATATTTTTGTTAAAATGTATTAAGTATACAATTACCGACCGAATGATAAATAGTTTTCATATGGTAAATTGTTTTAAAATTATGAAAATAGGGCAAATGCCACCGCAATAGCAATTTGTGACTTTTTGACACCAACATCTTGCGCGACGTCCTTGTATTTCTTGATATTCCAAGTTATTAATAATGATTGTACAAAATCTTAATTAGAAATACTTTGCTATACACAATGAAACTAACAATAATACCGTATCCTCATGTATATTCTGTAAAATAAGGGCAAAAAAGGAACCACGCTACCATACTTAAGTGTAAAACTCATTTTAAAACTAAAATGTATGAATTTTTTCTTTGCCAATTGATAGTTGGAAGCTTAAAATATTGTATCTAAGAAATAAGTTAAATCTGGTGGTTAATTTGTGGTGAAATTGTTGACCCTCCAGCCTTCTTAAATTCGTCCTGAATATTTGAGAAGGTAGTTTTGACAAACTGAAATTTTATCATGTACACAACATTGTTTTCGCCCTTGCTTATCTGAATTGCAGACTTAACATAAATGATTTATGCTGTTGAGTGAATAGTTTTTTTTATCGCGATCGCGAGAAGTAGTTGCATGCGTTTATCTTGGGGTCCACTAGTAATAATACAGACTATATATATAGAGAGACTATATCTAATTTGATACAATCATGCATGTGTTAACACTTTCAGTATTTAGTGTTAACACGTATTGATATCATGTAAATTCTTCCTTGATTTAAATATATTTTATTGACCACAATCAATGGGATTTGACACAAGTTATACCAACTTAGTTTTTCCTCTCCATTTATTCACAAGAAAATGATATAAAAATATTAATAAGTACTGAAGGTTGATGTGGAAGCTTTTTTTTGTTTTCTTTTTTACATATATCAGCATGTAACCCCAATGTCGAATTCATTGACCTTATTAATTTCTTATTTATGTTGATAGATTAAATTATTTGAATTATCCTTAATTAAATATAGATTATCATAAATAGAAGATATGCTTGTTATGAAATATCTTTTAAAAGACTTAGGGCGGGTTATACGATATATACAATAATGAATCAATATCATCAAGCATAGCATGCTAATTTTAAATCTATTATTGATACGTCTTTTTTTAAAAAATGAGATTACCCAAAATATTGCAGAAATTACACATTTGTATATAATTCATCATATACTTTGTTACAGGTGATAGTTTAACTTATGATCACAATGGAATGAAATTTTCAACAAAGGACCAGAACAACGACAAAATGAGTTACGGTAACTGTGCTACAGACAGACACGGAGCCTGGTGGTACAACAACTGTTACCTATCACACCTTAATGGACAGTACGGACATTCTGGTGTGTCTGGTAATCAATACGCGTTTTGGCGGTCCTGGAAAGGAAAGGAAGCATTAAAGCAGACTGTGATGATGATCAGATACAAAAACTGAATAAGACTGTGATCAATCATAACGATTGCTAATCATTGTCATTTTGTCTGTTTATAAAGCAACATATAGTACATGTATCATCAACACGCTTTGATTACATATTGTTTTGTTCAAGGTGTTCCTTTTATAAAAAACATAAATATATCAAAATGAAAGACTTATCCAAGAAGACTCATGAATAATCTAAAAATTATCTTATTATATTTTGCGTTATAACATTTTGCGTTGATCTCAAATCAAAACGTAACTAGTGCTAATTGTAACGGGAACCGTTACAGATGTTCCCCAAACGCTCCCCAACTCCCCAACTCCCTTTTAATGCCATATTCCCTGTAAACCTTATTAAATAAGACAACATCTGTGTATTTTTTTTACTTTAACGACGTTTTCCCAGAAGGATATGATTATATATAAATTTTAACATTGCATGCGTGCGCATGTGAATCACGTGCGTAATGATCATATCATCTTGTCTACACTTTCTTTATATTTAAATACACTTATATTAAAGCATTTAGTACAAAAGTATTAAAAAACACTCATTCAAGTGTATTTTTAATTGCGTGCACGTGGATGATGACCATACCTTCTTGAAGGAGGCCCTTATATCTATCTATGTTCTTAATCCCATCCTGTTTGGTTGTAAGCCAAGGGAGTAATAGCCATTTCAAGTTTGAGCCAATCAGATTGACGCACACGTGCATCTGCGTGATTTCATGAATTTTTTGTAAATCAAATTGTAGGATATCTTAATGCATGACTATGTTTTAAATTTCAAAGCATTTCGTCAAAAAACAAAGGAGATATAACCATTTAAAGTTTCAACCAATCAGATTGCAGTACACATGCATGTGCGTGATTTCTTGAAATTTTTTGTATATCATATTGCAGGATATCCTGATGCATGACTATGTTTTAAATTTCAAAGCATTTCGTCAAAAAACAAAGGAGATATAGCCATTTAAAGTTTCAGCCAATCAGATTGCAGCGCACGTGCATGCGCGTGATTTCTTGAAATGTTTTGTATATCATATTGCAGGATATCCTAATGCATGACTATATGTAAAATTTCAAAGCATTTCATCAAAAAACAAAGGATATATTGAGGTTTTTGTTTCAGCCAATCAGAGCAAGGCGCACGTGCATGCACGTGAGTTCCTGTTAATTTGACAGTGTAATATTATGAACACTATTAATATATCCTTATGTAATGAGTTTCAAAACATTTCATTGAAAAATGTAAAAGTTATGGCCATATTAAGTATATCAGTCATTTCACTCACTTCACGCGCACGCACGTGCATGCGTATGCGCGCAAAATGACCTTCGTTCCGCACACCTACACTACACACCTATTAACCCTAAAAAGGTTTTAGCTCAGTTGGATGAACAGTTTCTGAGAACACTCGCGGACAAAAAAAGTACCGGAGAACAAAGAAGAACTAGTGCTAATTGTAACGGGGGCCGTTACAGATGTTCCCCAAACGCTCCCCAACTCCCTTTTATAGTCATATTCCCTGTAAGCGTAATTAAATAAGACAAACTTTTTGCATTTGAGATTTTAACAACGTTTACTAAGAAGTGTACCATGTTCATTCAAATTTTATCATTGCACACTTGCGCATGTTAATGCATGTGCGTAATAACCATATCATATTCTCTACACAATCTATAATTTTTATATGCTAAATTTTAATGTATTTAATGCAAAAGTATAAAAAAAAACGCTCTTTCAAGTGTATTTTTGATTTTACCTATTTCACGTGCACGCACGTGCATACATGAGCATGGTGACCATACCTTCTTGTAGAAGTCCATTACATCTATCTGTTTTAAATCCAACCCCGTTTGATTGAAAACCAAGGAAGTCATAGCTGTTTAAAGTTTCAGCCAATCAGATTGCAGCGCACGTACATGCACGTGTATGTATGTACAGGGTGACCATACCTTCTTCTAGAAGTCCATTATATATATCTTTGTTCCAAATTCCAACCTGTTTGGTTGAAAACCAAGGGAGTTATAGCTGTTTAAAGTTTCAGCCAATCAGATTGCAGAATTCGTACACGCACGTGTATGCATGTGCATGGTGACCATACCTTCTTGTAGAAGTCCAATATATATATCTATCTTCCAAATCCAATCCTGTTTGGTTGAAAACCAAGGGAGTTATAGCTATTCAAAATTTCAGCCAATCAGATTGCAGCGCACGTGCATGCACGTGATTTCATGATAATTGCTATAATTCATTTTGTAGGATATCCTAATGCATGGCTATGTTCAAAATTTCAAAGGATTTCGTCAAAAAACAAGAAAGATATTGAGACTTTAGTTTCAGCCAATCAGAGCGTAGCGCACGTGCATGCGCGTGAGATCTTGCCATATTGACCACGCCATCTTGTTTATACTACTAATACATCCTTACATTATGAGTTTCAAAACATTTCATCAAGAAATAGAAAAGTTACGCCAATATACATTATATTGGTCATTCACGTGTTGCACGTGCGTGCTCTTGCAAGCACGTGCGCGCAAAATGACCTTCATTCCGCAAATCTACATTACATGTCTACTGACCCTAAAAACATTTCACCTTAGCTGGATGTGTAGTTTACGAGATCATTCGCGGACAAAACAGTGCCCAGGAAGAAGAAAAATAATAATAATAAGAAACAGAGTAAAAACAATATGTTCCCCAACTTCGTTTGGGGAACATAACAAGCTAATTCAGAGAATTTGTGTCCCCCGCTTAGGGAAAAAGTAAACCATGCGCAGTTGGGGAAGGGGGGGGGGGGTCGGATCCCCCTGACTTAAGTTGAAAAATTATTAAATGTATACATGTATACTGAAGCAAATAAAATATGCCAATATGGATATAAAGATTTGATTGCTTATTCTTTATTATGTGTATAGAAGATTCTTTTTATATGGAATATTTATCACTCTGTGATGATGATTTTATGAGTTTGTAGAAGCCACACCTTGTAAATTTTTCACTTCACATGCTGAGTACTATCATTTAGTAAAAAAAAAATATTTCAGAAAAAAAAAAAATGATACATCGTCCCGGAGTGGAACCCGGATCTCCCACATGTGAAGCGAGAGACATACCACTACGCCACGGAATCGCTCTATTTACGTCATGTTATTTAAGCTATCAATATATACAAAGATGAAGTCGCATATAATCAACGTTCGATATTTTCAAATTTAATACAATGCATGGTGCATGTCTAATTTAACCTTTATTAAACAGTTCTAATAGATGTAATAAGAATATAGAGTCCGCCGAGAACCTGTTTTATACGTGATAACTCTCTCATGTCCCTGTGCTAAAAATAGTGACATGTAATACAATAAATACTTATAAAACAAACGGGGCGGGACACTTTGAGAGGGGTGAGAGGGGTCTTAGGGACATCTGGTATAAAACTCCACTGCAAAAGTTCAAAATCTTCTTGAAATATCGCCCGGAAAGGATAGTGTTACACAGAGACTGAATGTATATATTTACGACCTTGAACTTTGACCTTTTGACCTCAAAATCAATAGGGGTCTTCCTTAGGTCACAGGAAGTTGTTATGTAAAATTTCATTGCAAAAGCTCAAAGGGTTCTCGAGATATCGTGTGGAAACGAAAGTGTTATAACAGACAGAATTTGCGAATTTATGACATTGATCTTTGTCCCTTTGACCTCAAAATCAATAGGGGTCTTCTTTAGTCCATAGGGAGTAGCTATGCAAAATTTCATTGCGAAAGCTCAAAGGGTTCTCGAGATATCGTGTGGAAACGAAAGCGTTACAGACAGACAGAAAGACGGACGGACGGACAAACCCAAATTAATATCCCCCACTTTTCAAGCGAGGGACAAAAAAAAAAGAATAAGAACTAGATGAGATCTCGTTGTGAACAACGAGTGGGTCTTCCGTCCGATTTTTCATGAGATGAGATTTGATTTTGATTGAGATTTTTTTACATTGATAATTTTCTTAAGAAAAACGATCTTGCTGCTTTTATGTTAAAAAAAAATATTGAACATTAAAAAGTCAAAAATTCGAATTCTTAGCCTCTTGGCCCTTTATATGAGGGACCAGCCCTTTTTTCAAATCATCTTAAAGATCTCATGCTTTTAAGCACTTTCTGTTCATCAAGTGTTCAGAGATTGTTTTTCGCTTTCGAGTTATTAGCTAAAGAAATATTTAGGAGACAACCCTTCAACTCCTTAATGGGGACGATTAGCGAAAAGTGAAAGGTTGCATCATGTTTAAAACATTATTTTGAAAATCTTTTGTTCAATGTTACTTTTCAAAACATTTCAAACTTTTTAGATATAAAGCTTCAAAGATTTCGCATTCTGGTCCTCTAGTAGCCCCGAATTATATATCATATAATATGAGAATCGTTTTTTATAGTTGTAGATTGTGGAGATTAACATTTACGCTTTAGTAAGGTATAACAAAATATTGACTGATAAAGAGTTATCGATTAAAGACTTTTGGCCCCTCTTGGCCCCTAATTTGAGTGCCCAGCCCCTTATTCTTGATTTCGTCTTAAAGCTCTTATGATTTTAAAAAAAAAATTGTTCAACAACTATTCAGAGATTCTTTTTCGTTTTCGAGTTATTTGCAAAGGAAATATTTAGGGGCCGACCAGTCAACTCCCTGACGGGGACGTTTAGTAAAAAATGATAGGTTGCATATTGCTCAGAACATTGTTTTGAACATATTACTTATCAAAATATTTCTCTCTTTCGAGATATAAAGTGTCAAGGATTTAGCATTCTGGCCCCTTCTGGCCCCTAATTATGTAATATACGACATAATCATCATAATATATAGTTGTAAATGGTTGAGATAAACATCTTTGATTCAGTAATGTATTACAAAATATTGACTGATAAAGAGTTATCGATTAAAGACTTTTGGCCCCTCGTGGCCCCTAATTTGAGTGCCCAGCCCCTATTTCTTGATTTTGTCTTAACGCTCTTATGAATGTGAACACTTTGTGTTCAACAACTATTTAGAGATTCTTTTTCGTTTTCGAGTTATTTGCAACAGAAATATTTAGGGGCCGACCCTTCAACTCCCTAACAGGGACGTTTAGCGAAAAATGAAAGGTCGTATATTGTGCAAAACATTATTTTGAACATCTTTTGTTCAATATTACTTATCAAA